CAACGAATTTTCTCAATTGTTTCTCAACACATCTTTTTTATCTAACCAATCTCTTATTGCATGCTTGTGGTGGAGATAGCCAAAGATGAAATACTCTATAGCACGACCATATTTGCTCCCAGTTAGTATCCTAGCTCGTTTTTTTTTCTTTATTATAATTTAGTTTTCTTTATCCTGATAAATTGCAGTGTCTTTAGATTTCAGCGGTCACTGCTATTAATTGAAATTTGGGGCATTTACTCCTACAAGTCTTGATTCGGGTTTTTCAAAGCTGGAATAGTACAGCTTTCATCTTGACTATGACAGATTCGGCTGTTATCTTGCAAATTTCCTTGCATGTAAAATGTTATGAACAGTGGCAGTATGGATTATCTGGTAAACCATCATTATCCACCGATATTTCTTGCACTTTATCCCATATATTTTGTGCTGTAGATATGTCCCAAAAAGGGACATAGTGTTACTAATTTAATTTTTAAAAAAATTGGTTCTAAAGTCATCACTCTGGCGGTCTCATATATTACTCGCCCGTTCTTTACAATATAGTGTCTTACACCATCTACATTCACAACATTGGATTTCTCATCTAAATTCCTTCATCTTAAATCCCTTATCGATGAACACAGAAAATAGACATTTAAGAAGATTCGGGAGAAGATTCGGGTTTTCACCTGTTTATTTTACTATTCAATTATAAATTCTTTTTTAAAAAAATATAGAAATTCCTACTCTTTCGTCTTCTTGAGAGAAAGCAGAAACTAAATCTTTTTGGGTTGGGGATGTTCTTCATCTAGTGACATGATTGTAGTGTTTCTTTTGTTTTTTTGTGTTAATTTCATTTTTGACTGAATAGAGTGCAGATTAGTTCCTGCATCTTTGCAAGACTTTGAAACGTATATTTAAAGTTAAAAACATAGTCAAGAAGATTCATTTCTGTATCTTCATTTGAAAGAAGTGTCTCTTAACAACTTCAATGATCCAGTGTCCAAAAACTAGTTCAGATGCACTAAATCCTAAAGATTCATGAACACGTTCTCTAACAGCAAGCAACAGTAAATGAACATCTTCGCCCCAATCTTTTCCGGTATGACCGAATCTTATTTTCAAAGTTTGATGAAATCTTTCTAGAGCTTCTTGGCTTTCAGGGTGATAGGCAGAATATTTAAATTGCTGGATGCTTAATTCATGCTTAAGTTACTGGAAAATTCCAGACACAAAATTTGACCCTTGATCCGATTAGACAAATCTGGGAAGCCAAATTGCGTTTTGAAAAGTAACTGTCGTTTTAGTTTTAATACTTCTCAATGAAATTGACTCTGGGAATCTTGTAGATACACAAATTATGGTCAAATTATGGTCAACAAGTATTGGTTGCCTGACTTTGTCTTCAGTAAGAAACCGGCAGAGTCTACCATTATTCTGCAAAATGGTTCATCAAAAGCAGGAATATGTTGCAGATTCGCCTTATGTATCTCCTGATGGGGATTTCATATAGTTTGACAAATGTGATATGATCTGCAGTATTTACAAGTATCACTTTTAATTTTCAGCCAATAAAAATGCTAAAGACCTTGTGATAAATCTTACTGACCATTAAATCACTAGCCAAAGGAGTTTATTGGACTAGGCCAAGACTTTACTGTTTATTCAACTAAAAAAGACAATTTGACAGCTTTCTGAACACTCGTTAATTCTTAAACGCTTTATTTAATATGAGTTGTGTGAAATAATAGTAGTCTTGACCAACCATTTTGGCTGAGCACCACTTATCAAATGTGGCATTTTTTTCTTTTGCAAAATTAACATGGGTCTTTCCATATTCTTTTTAGACTTCCCCAAACTTTGTTGATATGTTTCAGGTACAAACGCGTAACTCGTCAAATACTTTGTTGCATTGACAGTGAAGTGTATTAATAGAGACCAGTGCTCTCTTGGCCATTTCAGATTTTGAGCAATATTTTTCAAAAAAAGTAAAATATTTTATCTACTTATTTCTTCAGTAAAAAGGGTTACTAACCTAATATTTCTGGTAAAACAACTGAAGGTGTGTAGGGTGCTTTCCACTTGCCAATTCTAATTCTTTTAATCTAAATTGAAATTTCCTTTCTTCGTTTTCAATTTTCATCAACATTTGCATTAAACTGTTTTCTCTTTTTATTTCCTCGTTTTGCATTTGTAGTTTTCTTTCACTTGTTTCTCCCCTCATACTCCAATTGCATTTGATTCCCTCTCTCTTTTCTGCAACTGCATTTGTCTCTCTTTCCTCTTTCTTAAATTGCATTTGTCTGTCATCTTTCTCTTTTTGAAACTTGAGCTTTATCAACTCCATTACCATCTTGATTTTTTATTTCAATTCTTTTAATTTTGTGTCAGAACCAGAATTGGCCTATTGATCAAACCCAAACCACTTTATCAAAAAACAATTTATCCAAAAAATCTTTTCCATCAAATATTGGACCGAAATATTTCTTTTATTTCTTGCTTGATTGACGAATCCTTCGCCTCAGAGAGCTCATATTTATCCGGCAAGCTGAAGTAATTCATCCTTTTCCATGGACTCGAACCTCTACTGGGTAGGATTTAAAATAAAGTTTTCCACTTTATATGATATTGTAAATGCTTGTTGGTTTCATTATAGATTTCTCAAATATGCAGACTAATCATTGGGACTGGGACAATTCCAAATAAAGTAAATTTAAATTTCAAAAACAAATCGTTTTCCTGAATATTATAGAGAAATTCTTTTGCAGTACACGAGCCCCCTATTTTCTATTACGACTCTGGTTTTGATCTTAGAAATAGAATAGAGCGGAAACAAGCAAACTTTGTTACATTAAGAAATATTTAAATCCCTGGAATAAAATTTGTAAAAATATTTAGAAAGAACTTTCAGTATTGCAAATTAAATCCCATATAGTGCAATATGTTCTATCACCAGTTCTAATTAAATGCCAGTGGTGTTTGAAATACGCTCTTGCGCTGCAGATGCTGATATACTTTTAGTAGCCTGTGACGTGTAGATTTGCCAACGGTCTTTAGATGAATCACAATAATGTAATCCAATATGTCCTTGTCTGAATTCACTATAATTCCAATTTAATGTTCCTGTCTAAGAATATTATTGAGTGATTTTTCTTTCCAGTGAATAATGATTTGAATAAATATTTCCACCTAAATGAAAAGCTGAACACAACAATGCAGATAGTTTCTGCTTCAGACGTTGTTGTAGAAATGAGTAATTTATAAGCCCCTCTATCAAACCTCTGTCATAACTAGCATGTTTTGAAAAATACTATTGTCTATTTAGTGGAATTTTTCATTCTAGAATATTCTAAAGTATTTGCAAGATATTTTTTTTAAACTAAAATTATAATAAAGAATGTGGTAAACAACAGGTACAATATGTTCTTCATGGGGGAATACCAATGTCATAGACCTAGGCCCAAATAAATGTGTTTAATTTTATTGATAATGATCTTAATATTTAACCAACACTTATACGGAAATAGTAACTGTATTTTTTGTTTACTAAATATGTTGTCTGGTACACAGTAAACTAGGACAATGTCAAGTTCCTAATAAAATTATACATAACATAATCATGTACAAAAAATAAATTACACATAATACAGAATAAACATACGTTACATAATTCTTTCTGAGCATTGTACATATATTTGTTGTACAGGAGCTTGTCATCACCTTACTACGTTTTCTATCCAAATATGATTTTTTTTTTACTTAGGCTATATAATCATCTTGTGTTCTTCATCTTTGGCAACATATGCTGAATGAAAACACTACAATGAAACTTGGGAATATCCAGCCTACCCTGGGAAAGTGACATCCCTCACATAGGGCAGATGGCAGCGATGATGTATGCTGTTTGCATAACGGACGTATACATCTCCTTAGCCGGATTGAACTAAATGCCAGTGTCCACCGACAGCAGAATTCGTAATTGTCAAGTTTGTCGAGAAAAATCTTGTTCATGGAGGTGGGGAAAGCGTAAAATTTTGAAAATATATTTGATGTTTGAAGGGTTTTAAACATTTGCTGTTATCATTTATTTTAAATACCTTTCACATAAATTTAACAACTTTACCTTTCAACTTTTATTGTGTAAGTATTTCGTGTTATTTTTGGAAAGCCTTACCGTCCTAAAGTTTGATTTTTTTTTTGTTACAGTACTTTTTTTTATTTTTTTTTTTTTTACATATTTAGAACATTAGTTTTATTTGGCCCCATATAACCAGTGTTGTGATACAGTGTTACCATAAAACGCTTATACATCCATGCTCATGTTGTGCAATATATTTTTGACAAAATATATACAAAACCATGAATTTTTTTTCATTTCTTTTTTATATTAGGTCATGACCTCAAGTCTATTTCGTACATTGTGCAATGTATCTGAGAAGGCCTTTTGTCAGGTTTGCAAACAAAAATCTGGTGCTTCGCTCTACAATGTAATCCTGATTTGTTTCATCTGTACATATTTTGTTCCATGCTTCCTTTTCCAATAAGCTAGATTCTGGCACAGTTTATACTTCATAATCTTTTCATAAACGATGTTATTTTTTGATCCATACGTTTTTAACAGTAGTTGAACGTGATACAATTTTTATCCAGTTCCTTTTTAAACAGAAATGATCTACAGTATTCATAAAATCCAGGGATTACAAATATTACGTTAGAGTATTAATTCACAGACGCAATAGTACTCCACAGTATTAACGCAGACGCAATTGTTCTCCACATTATGAACACACGGACACTAGTACTTCACAGTATTAACACTTAGACGCAATAGTACTCCACATACACTAAATGTTGTCATTTAAAGTCTTTTAAAATATTTTGCATCTCTATCTTTAACTTCACATCTGAGACAAACCGCTCCAGTGTTATAGCGGTTAGAGCGCCCGCCTCAGATGCGGGAGGACGTGGGTTCGAACCCCGGCCGAGTCGTGCCAAAGACTTACAAAAATGGTACTTACAGCTTGACGATCAGCATTAAGAGGTTTATGTTCGGACTGGTTGGCCTGGTGTCAGAAATAATGTGATTGGGTGGGGACATCATGCTACATTGTCTGTGCCATGATGCCCCGGTCCTACACATCACTATAAAAGGAAACAGTACAAACATCGTAGCGATATCACTGAAAAATTGTTAAAGCTACGTTAAAAATCACACACACACACACACACACACACACACACACACACACACACACACACACCTGAAACAGAAATGAGTAAATATTTTCTTTTTTTAAAGTGATGTTCCATTTATGATTAAAATGTTTTTGAAAAAGAAATGGTTCCTGGAAGTTCGCAGTTCGTAAAATATTCATTTCCTTCCAGTTGTCACGGAATTGTATAAATATTTTTTCTTTATTAAGTAAACGTACTCGGGTTTCGCTTTTAGTGTACAATGATACCCGAGGGTGATCAATGTATATTCTACATTTCGAAAATAGTGAGTTCGGTTCTTCCTTGCTCGGCACGTGCGAAGTGCTTCAGGCTGGAAAAACCGAATACCTGAATTACACAGACGATGTTGAGCTTCATTGCCTGTGTATATATGATTCAAACTGGAACGAAAATATCACATTAATGACCGTTCTGTCAATCGGACGTCCACTATGACCTAAATCTTTAGCTATAGAGGTACGTAAATTAATCGTTAATATGCCTTGAAAGTTGTCTATTGTATTATCATTTTTAATTCCGCAGTTATGTCGCTTCGACAAATTTAGAAATTTAGTAAATGCCGCTTAGTAAATGATAATGTTTTATTCGTATCTGTGATTTGGCAAGAATTCTACGATTCCGTTTAATGCAGCACGAATCCTATAACCCGCCAACTTAACCTGTTTATTGTAGTTTAAAAGGGCAAGACTGAGAATGTATTATGACTTACCGTATATACCGTCGTTGTGTACTACCGTATATACTAGTGTAGTACACGATATCGGATATATTTTCAGCTGTTTGTTTGTGCCAGGTGCAGCAGTTTGTGCCGTGTGCAGCTGTCTGTACTGTGAGGGCGTATGTTGTGTTTTCTGCTGCTGTGTCGTACCGTTCAGCAGTGTAGAGCTACGTGTGCAGTGCTGAGGGGTGCTGTGCTTGTGTATTCGAGGGCTTCGAATATTTCAACGTTGCTAGTCGGGTTGAGGTTGATCAAGCGTGGCGGACCAACGTGGTGGACACTGATAGTATAACCCAGGAATCAATGGTGGTCGGTGACTACAAATCTTTGCGTGGAATCAGGGAGTGTCTACATTGCTCCAGATACATAATATTTTAGCCGTGGGCTAATGCAGGTTGGTTTTTTTTTTTGTAATATCCAGTGTTTTTGCACTTCGCTAGTTTGAGCGAAATCTCATTTGTTTGTAGAACTATCAAGACGTTATGAACGAACCATTATTCGTTTTACTAGTATGAGTAAAACTTGCAATTCGTTATTTTTGAACGAACAATCATACTACAGTCATTATATCAATTCGTCATTTTGAACATAACATTATTCGTATTTTACGATCATATTTGTTTGTGATATACCGTGGATCGTTTTTCATTTGTCTTAGTATCACTTTTGTTAAGATCGTGCTTTATGTTAATTAGTCTCATATTGGGACCCAGTGCAAGCACGTGTCTATAATATTTCATTTCTTACCCCCATATAACATTAAACATTGTATTGCATTCCCATCAATGGTGTTTTGTTATCAATCCGAAAGTCCCAAACTCGGTTATCTTACATCAGTGACATGTAATAACTACAGTAATTATTTAATATTCGTGACCATTTTTTTTCTGGGATTCTCTCGAAAGAGAAATTGAAACTGAAGGCGAAACTTTCCCCTTGTATTAGAACATTTTTTTTTAAACCTTGAATTCTAGTATAATTCCTATGTGGAAAATTTCACTTTAAAATTCAACAAGTAAATTAAATATCCAACCACGTAACAGTGATGTAGGGTTTCGATTAATCAGACTCGCACGGTTACGTTGAAAACGGTTTAATTTTCGACGAAATTCATTGGGTTAAAGAATGTAAAGAATTGTCCATTCGATTCTTAGATAACCCAGGTTTCTGAAATGTTTGTTGTGACTACATTTTGCAACTCCTGGTGCATTTTGTTTATATACGTTGCGTCATGCAATCGCGTTCATGGCGAAGTGATCGCAAGCCCCGGGGATATAAATCCACTAGTGTTCTTTTTCACCCGTTGATGACTTCGATACTATTTTCTAGTAAGCATGTATAAACTTGCTTAAGCAGTCGTTTGATAGTTCGATTAAATATTCTCGACATGTTAACCAACGTGCTTTTCATGCTGTTGGAAATCTTTATATTCATTATCTGTTATTTTGCTATTTGTTTAAATCATTCAAATTCTTTTTTTCTTCTCTCTCTCTCTCTCTCTCTCTCTCTCTCTCTCTCTCTCTCTCTCTCTCTCTCTCTCTCTCTCTCTCTCTCTCTCTCTCTTCTAAGTTCTAAGTTCTTCGTATTTTAACCTTCTCTCAATCGGTCTAATTACTGATAATCTTTGAAGTTTCAGCGGATTATTTATTAGCGGATCTAGTGCAGCTTGTCTAGCAACGGATTAGGTATATTTGCTACAAGTGCCTCAGCTAATCTTTTTTCTTCAGATCTTTCAATAATTCTTCCAACCAAACCTTTTTCTTTTAATTTTTAAGATATTCTGATAGTGGTTTACCTTCAGGTTGTTTTCCAAATAAAGCCTCAGTAACTAGTTTGAAAACTGTAGCTGCTGTTACTGCTGCAGCAACTTGACCATGTCACGCTTGTTGTCTAGCTGTTTAAATCTTGCCTGAGATTGCGTAAGTTTTTTTTATATATATTTTCTGTGTTTTCTATACTTGCCTTTTTTCCCATTATTAATTATATACTATTTTCTATAAAAATTGATGTAAATATGTTTCAATATAACATCAAAACATTTAACCCTTATCATTCGTTAATTTATCGAACAAGAAAAAGTCGTATCTATTTGCCGTTGCTTGACGGTATATAGTTCAATAAAATTTATATTTTGTTACATCGCCGCATTTGATTGTTCGCGATATTTATAATCTTAATATTGTCAAGTCCTGGAAATAATATAAAACAACCAGTATTCGCCTAATAAATCTGTCGATATTATATCTCTGGGCGAGATAAATATACTTTTTTTTTATTTCTCGACAGTGAACAATGCAATCTGATTTTATGTCCTCATTGTTTAACTATTTTATGTTCGGACGAATCAAGTTGATTAACTGTAATAAGTTTTCAGGTTGTCTAATAATAAAAAAAAATCTTCGCTAGCCTCAAGATCGTCACGAAGTTTGTCATTATAATTTTTAAGTAGCTCGTACTAATCTGGTGGATTAATTGTGTAAATATAAACGCGATCGTAAAAATTTATCTCCGAGAAGTAATTTATAAGCAAGTTTGTTATGCCAGATCCAGTTCTGCGAACAATAACATAATGACATCTGGAAGTTCATTATGTTTGTTTCACCAACCGCTCTGCAGCAAAGTTTAATATCGACGATTTTGACATTATTGTTTTACAATTTTATGGTATATAATTTGGTCAATAATAAATAAATTGAGTTCTTGTTCAAAATTTGGAACAACAGTAGGAGATTCGCCATCTGCTCAGCAGGGGACTTACCTAAAAATGCAACTCTTGATCAGCTCGAAAGTGAAATTAATAATTAAGTATCACAGGTGTTGATCAAAATGGTTATTTTTCAAGATAAAGAAGGACGATTAAAAACGATTAATATACAAGATGTACTTACACGAATTCGCACCGCGGCTGTTAATAATATAGTTACTTCTGCTAATCAGGGTAAAATGCAAGATTCGGGCATGTCCGTTGAATATGTTAAGAAAGCTGGCGATGTATTTACTGGTGTTATTATGTCAGGAAAAAAAATCTTGGAAACCTAACCTCAGATACAGAAGCAGCAACGAAAACATACGTCGATGATCAAGAATCAAAATACGTATTAGTGAGTGGTGGTATTATGTGTTCATTTCTCAACATGAATAACAACGTTATTAGTAATCTCAGAGCACCAGAAACAAATTTCGACGCTGCATCTAAAAAATATGTCGATAAGTAAATTCCAATAACGACTTCGTTAGCAACAAAAGATCATGGAATTGCCGCATTTAAGACTGTAATCACGTACAAACGTTTCTAAATTTTCGTAGAAATTTAAACAGAACTAATAACGATTTTTTTTTTGAACTCCACCAAATGTTGATATAAAACTTGCTGACATTAACGCAAGGTTTACCGATATTGTAAGTGATATCCCAAATATTGTTCAGAAAACTAATCTTGTTATAATTCCACACGGTTGAGCTAACAATATCGTGTACACACTATCATCAGGAAAAACATGGTCGCAGCAGAATAACTCTTAAACACACCGCAGAGCTCACTGGTGTGTATAGACTTATCAGTGCTTAGCAGTGCAAAGTTTAATATATTTAATATATTTACTACATTTGGCGTCATTCAACGATGATTTGTCTGTAACTGTGTGTATAGTGTTAAAGATTGATAAAAAGTGAACCTCAGCAACTTATTGGAGGTGTATTGAATTTGTAGCTGAAACTCCAGAATTAGTTTCTTATTTAACGGTATAAAATATGTAGTAAAGAAATATTAAATAAAAACAAAATATAGTCGATTTTAGAAAACATTTCCTAAACAAAATGTTGACGCACTGATGCCATGTTACAGCTATCATAAAATCTTTGGTGCGTCAAAAAAAGTTACAAATACTATACCAAAATACTTCCGAGTGATATATTTACCGCTGCTAATGACCGGCTCTGGTATATTTTCAAGTAGTGCATCATTAAATGCGTTTGTGTTGATAATATCCAGTGTCGGTGTTTCTCTTGCAGCAGCATGTAAAAAAGTTGAGACAT